ACTGTTTAACAACGTGTTAGAGGAAGGTCAAAGTGCAAATTTTTGTCACCAAAAACTACATTTTTTCGGATATTATTACATTAAAAAAACACAAACATCGTAAATAAACGGACATACATTATACTTTTTGTTGTATATTAAAACTATACTTTGTGGCGCGTATGGTCGCGTTTCAAATTGACGCGTATGGTCGAGTTTGACGCGTATGGTAGCTGACCAAAGCTGCCTATCACCAACATAGTCGAGGTCAGGAAGGTTTCATTTAAATTACCCTGTAATTACGAAACAACGAGTTAATTATTGCAATGTGTTATATTTACTTCTTTCTGTAAGCAGAGGATTGTTGGTATTCAAGGGCATGATATATGGAATTCAAATTAAAAGAGACATAAGCCTAAGCCATGATTTACATCGCTGAGGTGCATATGTCAGTCAAGGCACACTACCACATAGGGCGCCCTTCCCAACATTTCCGTTAATGATAACTTTCATGATCACCTAAATCATACCTAAATTAAGTAAAATTAGATGGAATGGACCGCTAACCTCCGACCTTTAGATATCGTTACTAAGGTCCCACAAAACAACGTAAACTCGTGCATTTGTGGGAAAAAATTTGGGGGACATGCGTACCTCTGGCCCTATTCTGATTGGTCAATTGTCAAGTTCGATTGAAATTGCGTAAAAGTCAATTATTTATGATACTTCGTAACCTTACTGTAGGCGGTAGTCATACAGAAGATACTTTAAGTTAAATTTTGTTCGTTCGTAAAGGGTATTTGCGAATATAACTATATACCTTTAACAGTACATTAAGGAATTTCAAATTTCATGTAAATGGAACGTGTTGGAAATACTGTATAGAAAATTACCTGGTCGTTATGCCGACTCGCGCGTTAAGTGGCTGTTATTATTCATGTTTGAATTATTACACATCTCTATATCCTGTCCTACCTTTTTAAATGATACATTGGCATCCGTCAATCTATCTTTTAAGAAGACGTCCACTGGGGAGTTAGTTAACGCTACGGTCTTGTGCTTAAGAGCAGTTTCAATCGTGCAGTGTATAGAACCGGGTCAGACGATGTACATTAATACAAGGTTCAAATTAACGGACACTATCACATCGTTATCCGAGTCCGAACTATCGGATGTTTTTATATCCAGCTCTAGGCCTAATGTGTTGGCGACACGGTTGCCTGTAAATCACAGATGTGTTCCAGTGACATGTCGCTCCTGGCCTCCTGTAAAACATTTATAAAAGGTGTGCGAGTGCTCATGCTACGGATTTTAGTGATTTTATAATAAGTCCTGTAATTTAGCGAATAAGATCTTTAATAATCGTAAAACAGACTAGATATCAATCAATTAAAGCCTGGCACACACTGTCGGCCGACGGTCGAACGATCTTCGCAATATGTAAGCGCTTGACGGCGTGACGCCGTCTGCTGATTTATTGGTGGTATGTCAGCGGGGATCGTAAGCGATTCGATGCTTGCGCCTCGTCGCGTTGCGTTTCCGTGGAAATGCGTCAATCGACGACCGTCGATGCAGAGAGTGCTCAGCTTAAAGCTGAAAATCGATGGATTATGTTGACGTTTAAAATAACATTCGTGACATTGAATCAAGCATTCTGGATTTCAAATCCATGGCTAGCTCAGTTGGAGTGTGATTGCGATAAAGTTAAAGAGAAGCTTATGTTGTAAATACAACTGGGGTTTCATCTACATTATGCCTTTAAAAAGCTAAATTGTTAGAGCCTTTGGAAGCTCCGTTTCCATAGATACTGTGGAGTAACAAAAATGTTCTACATATATGTACAAATCCCAAGATATTACTTTATTTACCCTAAAAAAATTTTACTTTATAGTATCATCTTATACACCACCTACACCGTTTTTGTCCAGCAGTGACATGTTTTCATTGAAAAATAAGGTGTGGGCTAATGCATTCAGATAATATGCATTCACATAAATTACAATAACAATATTAATATAATATTCCTCTGTAATTGTTGTGTCTAGATATTAGTGAGTTATTGTTTATTAAATCTGGCATTAAAATATGCTATGTAATTTTATATTGATATGCCTATTGTTTAGAAACTTTTATAATGATAATCACTATCAGGCGTGGTCTCCGGTACCGTTCCGTATCTGATACCGTAACGCATTTAAATCGAGTATACTATTTAACTAGGCCTATTCTTCTTTGATATTTGTATGTACCGGTACGTGTTTACCAAGTTCTACCAAACCGCATGATAATTCATATTTTAGGCCTATAAGTTATAACATCAATTGTTTGCGAGTTAGGGTCCTCCAAGAAACCAGCTACGGTATCAAATATGTAAACCACTGAGATAGATGAATGAATTAATGATTGAATGAATGAATGAACGAACGAACGAACGAACGAACGGTTTGCTGGCTAGATGAATTGGGTAGGTTAGTGAATGAATGAAGAAATGAGAGTGAGTGAGTGAATGAATGAATGAATGATTGAATGAATGAATGATTTAATAAAGAAATGAATGATAAATACGAATTGCATCTGTACGTTTTAAGGATGATTGATTGATGTGTGCAAATGACATAGGCCTACTATTCGAATCACGTGTGTTTATGTTGTCTTTCGTCTGACGTACTCTACATTGTCACCTGCTACTAAATGTTTGCGTGCCATCCAACGTCTGCGTGTGGCTAATTGCTAAGTTTAATGTCACTGAATGAAGTAGTATTGAACATGCATTAAAGTGACTCTTCCACGAGCTGACGCCAAATATATCTTGAGCCCATATTCATAATTCTATAGACTGAAACTACTAAATTAATATTTTTTTGGTTGGTTGTCAATGGTGCAGAGCGTAGCCATATACACATATTGTCCAAATGTACTACTGTATACGTGTACGCGGAAATACTACTATACAACATCGCGCGAATACCGCTTTACCTCTTTTTTTTTCGGCCTATCGAGCGTTTTCATTGATAAATGATATACCGTCATGCTGAGAAATGTTATTGATCTTGGCAATCGCAACAGGTCTAAGCACTTTTAGGCCGTCCTGTCATTTGGATATCTTAACGTTCAGTAATTGTAATAGGCATTATGTATATTTGATCAGATTTGACGTCACAGTTTAATTTGTAAATAAACGTAGGACATAGTACTATTATAGTAGAAAGGAGGAGCATAGAAGGAGAAAAAATGTTATGGCTATTGATGGGGTTCGATTGACAAATTGTATTGCACCGTCATCTTTGATATTTTAACGGCTTCTGTGTCGACTTTTGTACACTTGCCAACTTTCTGTGTTAGTTCTGCTGTTGTGTGATGTGATCAATAATAGCAAGGAATGCAATAGTGTAAGCGATCTCGGAACGCTGCCATTGACGGCTAGTTTGTGCCCAGTCAGCATTGTATACATTTCTGCTGGAGTAAACATACATTGAGAGAGTCTAATTAAGCAGCTAATTCATAAATAATAATATTTCCTGTCTGTTACAAACCATTCACACGGCTTTGACATGTGACAACAGTCTGCGTGTGATGGAAATTATTTCGGGATAGCCTGACGTCACATCAAATTGTGGACGCAGTCGCCAAGCCCGCCCAAATTAATAGCGGCTATGTGTTTGCCTAATGAAGAAGAACGCGCGCAGGCATGAGAACTTTGTGGTTGGCTCTAAAAACCAATTCATAAATTCACACTTGGTTCACGGCAGTTGGCACGAGGTATGGCCACACACGCCCACTCATTATCGATGTTATATCATCTTGCATTTGGTAACAATAATTTAAAATGTAAACAAAAGGAAAGGGGGAGGGTTGATGCCGTTTTGACGACTAAAAAGATGATGAAAGTCGGTCACATCAATACCGGGTACGGTATATTATCAAACCATTGGTTTACTTAGGGAAGGAACTTGCGTAGATATCCTCTGTCAGATACCAAACAAATCGACAAAATGACTTGTCGAAATCTTTGTTGACAAACTCTCTCGCAGCAACCTTTCCGCATGTTACCCTAAATATTTAAATTATACTCATGGATGGGCCAGCGTTATTAATCAAAACAAGAATATATCGGTAAATTGGTCTAAATTGCATCAAGACAAATGCTAAATAGTTCATGTGTAAGACGAATATGCAACTATTCGATGGTAAACCAAGACCGATTTTATCTATCAATGTTGCGTGCGATTCGGACAATTTTCGCAGTAGCACTCGGCTTAAGGTCGGTGCGATTAGTCCTTATGTTGCACAGAAACATTCGCGCGTTTTAACTACATCATTAATTTTATCATTGTTTTCATCTTTGTATCATGTACTGACTTAATATTGGAAAGATGTTTAAAATAATAAAACATTATTGATATTAAAGGCCTTGTTATTATTATCTTTGGCATCACCATCGTCATCATTTCCCAAAAATTTGGGGGTATTTGTCTACACTATATATACCTATTATAGGCCTATAGGCTAAAATTGCTTAGAACAAAGAAACACAGAACAAAATAAGAACAAATTGAGGTTGAGGTAAAAAGCCAAATAAGGTTTTATTTAAAAAACGACTCGAAAAACAACAAATCTTATCTGTACCTTATATAAGGTGTGACTCTGTAATACCCTCTATACAGTACTGTACAATAATTGATTTTCTATTTTTGAAAAATGTGTAAAATAAGAACAAAATAAAAACATTTTGAGCCTGAAATCGGCAAAAGAAAATAAGAACACTGAGCCTGGGCAAAATGTTTTTGGTTCTTATAAAAATAATTATTTCAACGTGTGAATATTAACGCTGTTCAGTTTTGCGAAACGGGGAGCATGTTGGTTACTCTCCTTACCACCTTCCCAATTGTTTAATATTCAAAGATGTATCTTGTTAATTTTGTAAACTATTTATTAGCTTAAGTATTAAAAATAACTAAATTACTGTATTATATTATTTTTCATTTATTAAACGTTCAATCGATTTTGTCTTGTTTTTGCAGATAGAAGAAACAATACCATCATTAAATGACAAGAAGAAGGAAATAGAAAATCAAACATCTTTAGACGAATATCTACAGGAATTTTTCCCAAATCAAAATAGATCAGAGGTAGTATCAAATATTGCACAGACCCGGCCGTCGTTCCAAAGGAGGTCGGGAAGACATAAGGGTAATTCAAAAGTATTTAATTTTGAAATTGTTGATACTTTTTCGCTCTTCATTTTAAATATAGGGGGTGTGGTTTAACTGATAGTCTAGTTAAATGAGAATTTCCAGGTTTTCTCTTGGTATTCATTGGATCTTTCCGCTAAGCCCCGCCCTCTTTCTTATACTCCTTTTACACTGCGAGCAAAATTCCGGACATAACCCGGGATTTTCCAATACCCGGGTTAAAATCTCCCGAGCTGTGGTTAGTGTAAACGTCAAAAAGTCCGACTGGGGTTGCCGAATTCAGCATAGGACAGCCCGGGTGCATTCCTGAGTCGCCAGTGTAAACAGCACCGAATTTGATTCCGGAATTAGGCCTTACCTGGCGCCTACCGCAGCTATGGTCAGGTTGGCCTAAACTTTGCTAACGGGCTAGGGCTAGACACTTTTCAAATTAAACCCTCTACGCTCCGGTTATAGGCTTGATATCAAAACTTCTGATTTAATTCGCATAATTTAAAACAGTCTGCAGGTATATTGCTTCTATAATAATTGACAATTTGTGGCTTCGTGACGACGAGGAACTCGAGCGAAGTGATGATCGCCATAAGATATTTTATCGCCATCGCAACACAAATTGAGGGCGATATTTGAACCCGAGTTCGTTGCCTGTGTAAAATAGGAACAAATCGGGATCAACCCAGACTTTCGTTCGATGGGAAATGCACCCGGGATCACCCCGGAATTAACACGGGTTTATTATGCTCTTGCAGTGTATTAAAGGGGTATTAGATATTGTTGCTAAGGTCCCGCAAAACGACAGTGTAAAAAAACACTACACGAACACATACGTGCGTTAGTGAGATAACACGTGTGTTTATTGGACGCGCGCGTATTCCTGGCCCTTTTCTGATTGGTCAGTTTGATTGACACTCCGGAAAGGTCTATGCAGCAAAGATTTAGCAATTCAAACGTCCGATCTCATAATATAGTGTAACGAGGAGCATGATATGTGATAGTGTTAGGATAATGCAGGCCTGCATTGATGTTTGACCGGCAAATTTGGGTGCGCGAATTTACAAGCGCATTGTCATAATGATGCGTACGAGAATGCGCAATGATTGAGCATTATGCCTGGCTTTTGCGCAATAACTTGCGTTAACAGTTCATTCGTCCCATGAGGTTTAAAAGTGCGTGCAAAGGATCCAAAATTACTGCTTGACGGTAATTGTCAACCAGTGGCCTATATCCTTGGCGGAAACAGCTGCTAGGCGATCAAAGATAGATGGTTTCACAAAGTAAATGCAATGCAATAAATTCGCGAGTAATGGGATTTATAGGAACAGTCTCTAAAAATACCTTTACATTGAATGGTCTTGTAACTCTTTCAATGTAGGCATATTAATATAATAAAACTTTCTAAATTGAGCATATTAATTCACAAAAATAATCGCCTGTTTTCAAAAAGTAAATCCGTACTTTTTCTGGAATTTCGATACGGTATCTCTCTGCTACAAATAAGATTATTACGAGGCACGTCCTCCTAGTTTATGTTTTATTGTTACTCTGATACGTTGACCCGATTCGATGATACAGAATAATTCAATCACTGAAATGCTGTCTTTAAAAGACGTCTTTGTAAGTTGAGAGGATTAAAGAATTCTTCGACAGTAACTGTCTGGATGGATTGTTGAACGAGATAATTGTCGAAATAATACATAGAAGGCAGTATGGTGATTTTATTCTTCTAAATGTCATGATTGATTAGTGTCAAACGAAAAAAATGTATCGAAATTTACATCTATTTGAAGACTATTTCAATCATTGACAGATTCCCAAGTTACAGTACTTATAAACTGTCAGTCATTTTTATATATTGATATATTAAAAGTAGTGTCAATCATAAACTGACTACATAACTATCGCTTTTCATATCTTTCTAACATTTCAAAAGAACTAATTAAATGCGAGGGGGAAACGTTGGTATTCAAATTGCGGCATGTATTCTATGTTATCGATAAAACGATTGTACCTACTGTCAAGGAACGATAAAATTGACTTAGAAGATTTTAAAGTTTTCAATGGATTTTGAATAATTGGAATACCGAATTGGAGTGGTTTAACAACAAAAGCGGGTTAGCAGACGGAGATAATCGACTTTGAATAGACCAAGTAGTTTAGTGAGGAATTAGTGTCATTAATTTTAGTTCTTTTGGTAAATATTGGTTTTACAAAAATGAAAAATGCGAAACAATTGTTGTTGGATTCGCCGTTGGCTACGAATGACCTAGATGGTTCAACCAATTCTTTTAAAAAAAATCGCGTTGAGATTTACTATAAAGTACTACGATGTAAGAGGGCGCTAGTATCGTATTATTTTTTACCAGTGAATTCGTACCATCACAGTTTGCATATAGAATCTGTGCACCAGTTAACGAAACTGATGTATCTTTATTGAGTAAACTAGTCTGACCTTCCGCCTTACTTTTATTATTGAGAGTAATTAATAGTATTATCATTATACTTATCAATATTCTACTACGGGTGGATCTATTACTAATTGACATTTATTTATCTGTCTTTGCAGAGAATATGTTCGCTAAAGTTGATCGAGAGGCACAAAGGGTTAAGTGTGGCAAGCCTCGTGAAATATTAGTGGATTCTTACACGGAATTGGGGTTCGCGAAAGGATTTGGGACTAAACTTTTTCCAAGTTGTATTGTGGTAGATAGATGTAAAAATAGCGGTTGTTGCCAAGAATCTGAAGAATGTAGGGCGTCAAGAACAATGAACGTCACACGAGAGGTAATATAATAATACTTATTATAAGTCCCGAAGATATTTTTCTATCACCAACCGTGCACTAATTTTTCATTAGTGCATGTTTAAAAAAATTCCTTCTGGCCGTGCATTATCTAACCTTCGTATGATAATTAACATTACTGTATGAACGCAACTATTCTAATTTGCTTAATAATAAATAATATGGTGATGATGCCGATGATGATTATGTATTGTCAAATAGAACCGTAATAATGTAAATAATCCAAGTCACCAGCGCAAAGATACAAGTCTAATTTTATTATTTTTTAATGTTATACCATTTTTATTTCCACAGTTCTTAAACAATGGTGAACTTATAACTAGAACAGTAGCGAAGGATTTTGAATGTGAATGTCGAAAAAAACCAGCATTCTGCCCGGAGACTAACACAACTTGTCCAGCCGGGAAGCAGTGGAGTGACAGTGCTTGCAAATGCGTGTGCAAAAAATGTCCGTCATTGTTTATAATAGATGAAGATAGGTGTACGTGTGATTGTCTTGTTTCCAACAGGTTATGTAAAAATCATGCCAAAGGAAAAAGGTCTATTTCAACGGAAGATTGCAAGTAAGTATATTTATCTATTTATAATCATTTATGTGTGTGCAATATTTTATTTAATGTCATTATATATCGCGAACGCTAATAGTACAGTGTCAATGAGATACTAAAGAATCATAATTGCAATGGAAATACAATACAAAATAAGACTCTGTTTACACTATTAAGAATTATGTGTAAATACCTGAAATTTGTCTATATATTGGGGTGATATGAAATCATCATCAGTTATTTTAAATACTGCATCATTATTTGTACAATGAAATTAATAGCAAAATGGCGTTAGGTGTGTAGTATATCAATCCGTGTGGTTTCTTAGGCTGCGGGCCGTGACACACTACCGTGCACTAAAAATCAAGGGACTGACTTGGTGGTAGAAGGGACGCAGTAGCAGTAACACTGCGTGACCTTTGACACTCATGCTCTCCAGTTATACAGGTACATTAATTTAAAATAATTGATTTTGTCTTTCAGTTGCATAAAGAGCGGGTTGTGTAATCCACCGCAGTGTATAAATGGACATTATGATGCCGACCTGTGTAAGTGCGTTCAAGATCATGTGGAAAGATGAAATTTCTAAATGTTTCCAAAATCCACTCGGAAAATTAAATTATCGAACAGAGCTGTACTCTGGAAATCTATCAAGTATTTATTGTGGTATTGAAAACATTGCGCTTTTCCGTTGTCTGAGAATCGGTTTGCAAACTAAAGACTGTGTGGTGAAACAAAGGTTGTTCGCAGAAGAAAAGACAATGTTTCATGGCCTCCAAACGGTCCATAACTTACAAATACCCAACGAAACATTCCTATTAAGTTATACCAACTCACAAGGTTGTTAAATGTGCTCGGCATCTGTCTCCTCAAATTCCGTTACCAAGTGACTGAGAACTCAGATAACTGAATATACAGAGATTATTGGTACGGAAAAGAAGGTGAAATAAATACCAATGTTGGCTGTGTTAATTGTTGATTTTTGTGTCTCAAGCAAGAAAAAGAAAAGTAAATTTAAAATATGAGAAAGGACAATGAATACATATCGATGAATGGTGAGTGATTGTGAGACAATTTAGCGGCGTATTGATACTGAGAAGATTATTGCAATGTCCTGCCGCTTAATAAAAATAATTCCTCAATATAAAAACTAATTACATATTTATTCTGAAAGGTAAATAGTTGATGCGAATGGTTTGTAGCTGATTGTAATTTATACTGTAATGATTGTAAATTAACTGCCATATTATGGTGTATGTATATTATCTTCGTTGTACATTGTTTTAATAGGCTATGTATCAGAAAATATTTTTTGTACTATCAAGTTTATTAGTAGAATTGAAAGAGTTAGTTTTGAAGAAAGCGGTACTCAGATGTTATAAAGCAATTTGCGTGCAAAATGTTTTGCCGAATGCCTGATCGATTCTTGTTCAAAATAAGATGAGAAACAGATTTAGCAAAACGAAATCTAATCCTCAATTCGAATCACAATTTTTAGTTTTTACACACAATACCCATAGCGCCACCAACGTTTAGTATTTGGCAGGTTTTGACGCGATGTGGCGTACTGTATTTTTTCATCCACACGTACTTTCTACGCTGCTTGGTAGTCATCTGTCTACGTTTGTAAGTAAAAAACTATGATTATGTTAGTCAAAGTACAGAAAGCTAAGGACACGCCTCCCTGTTTTCATTTAGCAATTTTATGCTAAGTTGGATAACAACATATGCGTGCCCGTTAAGGAACACGAGCAAAAAACGTGTTCACATTGTCGTTTTCTAGCCTATAACTACGTGTACGCCTAAATCTATTTATGTGTACAGTCTTTTAGCTGTAAATTTCTGGCGAACCCTCTCCAATACTAAAGCTCTGTTCACATTATCAAGTTTTATATGACAAATATGTGAGACTTATACCATGGGTGCAATGATATATCACGTCCATATATGTGCATAGTGATGTCATATAATACCCATAGGCCTATATGGGCAAATCAGGTATTTTTCACGTAAAATATTATAGAGCTTAAAGCTAACAAATGTTGACAAATTGAAATATATTCAATCTGCAGTAAGCACATAAATTAGACCAAACACTATCTTATCAATTTTAAATTATGAGTAAATTTGAATTATGGATTTGTTATTAATTTTATGGTTTTGTTTACATTATCTTTACGTTTGATTTTGGCGCCCTCTTTTTTGCAAATAATTATGATAAGGTTATGGTAGTTTGTTTCTCTTGATCTTGTATTCCCTGATGCCACTGGCAGACAATGGCTTGACTTAAACATTATCATTCTGTATAACCATATATCAATACAAATTTGTATATAAAATTTGAAAATAATATTTAACAATTTATCGTATCAACATAGACCTACTATGTAGATATCACATGACTACATTACAGTGTGGGTTGCTCATATCGTAACTAGCGGAAAAGGCTAAATAATAGTTTATTCGAGTTAAGGCCAAGTCAGCGTCGTACGACGCAGCCCGACGTGATTTGTTGTCGCATCGGGTCTGTGTGAGTAAAACGCTGACTCGATAAGCTCGGTTTCCATAGAATCGCTCACCCTATCGGCGACAGTCGCCGACAGTTGTCGGAAAGGTTGAACATGGTTTAACTTTGCCGATTGCGTTACAGACGAATCAGGGTGGTTCCCGATTGCGTCAGGGCAGTTCCTATGCGTCCTGTCTGCAACGAAATCGGCAAAGTTGAACCAGATTCAACCTTCCCGACATCTGTCGGCGACTGTCGCTGATAGGTTGAGCGATTCTATGGAAACCGAGCTATAGGTTTGCGTCGGGGACACTCGCGTCGTAGAATATTTAAACATGTTTAATGTTCTCACGACGATCTAAAGACTGCTCCCGACGATACATTGCGTCGGGCTGTGTCGTTCCACGCTGTTTGAGTTGGCCTTTAACCGCTTATAAATATTAGTATTTATATTTAAAAAAATTTAAAAAACTTGATATATGCTCTTCGATCGGTGGCTTGAAACATATTTTCATATCATACAGTACAGTATTTCTATATTTAACTTGAATTGTGACGCAATTTTCTTTAGTTTACGCATGTCTCATCAACTTTGACCGCAGTCTGTGTACGACTAGTCTAATCAGATGCTTTAATCATAATCTGTTACTTGAGCTTTTAAAATATATTTTAATTAGTATTATTCATGATGGAAATTTGCATCTGATAATACAAAACTTTAAATTATATGTTTGTTTATTTATTTATGTAACTAAAAATAGTTGATTAAAACATACGATGTCCCGGTATGTATATTTAGTCTACTTGTCTTTATTGTGTATCCTACATTTTAATGCCCTGTCCACACTATCAACATTTGTTTGACAAAAATATGTGACATGCCTAAATATGGTCATGCTGACATCACATCATGACCATATATAGACACATCATGACTATATATGGGCACATCATGACCATATATAGACACATCATGACTAAATATGGGCAAATCATATGTATTTGTCACATAAAAATTGATAGTGTGGATGGAGCTTTCCAACGTCAATAGAGTTTTGCAAGCTAACAAAAACGATAACGAATACGGTTACGTCATATTTTTTTATTTAGTCAATCCATCTCATAAGTAGCATATCTGACGTCACAACGTAGGCGATCCATGACTTTTAAGTGAATAAACGATCATATACAGCTCGTATATGTATTGTTAAAAATGTAGGCACTAATAACGATATTGAAGATGACATATTCGTATTCATTTTTGTAAGGTAAAGTTGCAAAATCTCCCTATTACAATGGACCTTTCCGCTAAGCTCCACCCCTTGGATTTTGTTGCTAAGCCCCCACAGGACGGCAGTGTTAAAACATACGCGAACACGTGCGTTTGTGGGACAACACGTGTGTTTGTAAGACGCGTGCGTATTCCTAGCGTTGTTCTGATTAGTCGGTTGTGAAGTTTGATTGACACTCCGGAAAGATCTATTATAACACGTAAGCTAATAATAGCAAGATATTCATTATAACCTTTTACGAGTGCCACATTGAGCAATAAATAAAATAAAACCATCAACTCACATAGAAAGTGGCTGCAACTTGAAGAAGAATGGCGTTTAATTATTTCCTAAATACGGATGCAGTGTTCTTCCGATCCAGCTTCACACAAGTTTTAGACACACACATGTTAATAGTTCTGTTATTTATTATATTATATATTTATTTATATCTTCAATTCACCTTATTAATCTCATTACGTGCTCTTTGAGAAATACCATCGTCATAGCGCCACAAAATATAATATTCTGTCGTGGATATTGCTGGTTTATAAATTCCTTTTGAGTGAGTGAGACATTGATTCCTCAGCCTGTAGACTTAAAGAATTCTGCCTTTCTGGAAAGGATTTTATTCCCCAGGGCCGGATTTCTCCCCCTCCCTTTTACGGAATTTGACCACTAGAACGCTGAATTCACTTATGCAGAGGCCGAATTTACGGGAGATCGTAAAATTTTAAAGCACTCGTAGTCGTAGTTGTGGGATCACAAAACAGCTGTAGAACTATTTTAGTCATTTTAATCAACTTCAACGGAAGTTAATATTTTAATTGAGACAGGCGATTTTATAAAATCAATATTCAATAATAATTATTTTGATATGCTTATAGTGAACTGAAAATATGGTAAGTTATTATTATAAAAAAAATCATTAGGAATTACTGTAATGTTAAGGACGAAATACTGAATCGTTGGCGATCATGAACAAATTAAATCAAAACAGAGTGTGTCTGCTTCATCAACGAATAATTTTCATTTCAATACGCATCGTAGGAAGAATACAGAAACAACGAATGACTTACCACTTAGTAGAGAAAAATAATTTGGAAAAAATCGGTAGTATTGGGCTGGACATAATAAGCTTGAGGGGGATAAAATTTGGGGCCGGGGTACGAAATTTTGAAGATGGCACTCTAGATTCCCAAAAGTGTTTTTATCGAAAAGACGTACCTTCAGGGCCGCCAAGAGCGGCTTCTGCCCCACCCCCCTCACTGCCGGCCCCAACGTCGACAATGTGTCTCTGAAATCAAATTGTAGTACCTAAACACATAGGCCTATCGATCTGGTGGCTCACCCTGATCCATAACCGTCGTGTTTTTCTTCGATGACGATGATGATGACGACGACAACGATGACGATGATGCTAATATTAATGTTTAGATGGCAGTGATACGAGCATCCTTCTCAACAAAAAATAAACTTTAATCATTTTAATTATTTCATCATTTCATTTATTCGTCTCAAAACATTAAAATTGACAATAAAGGAAACAGCAAAGAACAAGCACAGACAATATGAGACAGGACACCCTAAAAGTGAACTTAATCACTGTCGAGTGGGGCCCTTCACAAGATACAACCAAATGCTTACAGAATATACATTTTTTTTAAATATATAAACATTAAAAATTTAAAATTTTGGCATAATTTAAAAGATTTAAAATATTAACATTTTCAGATGATTCAATAAAATTTACTTCAAAATTAATATTTAAAGTGCTAAGGTAGATTTAAAAAAAAATAGCAAATTAAGCTGTTCATCTGCATAGTCAGGTCGGCTAGACAGAGAAGAAAGTTAACAATTGTAAAAATTCTATAGTAAAATAAGCATAATTCAAAAGTTTGGCATTTAAAATTTTAAAATATCAGATGATTCAGTAAAATTTACTTTAAAATTTTAAATTGCAAAATGCTAAAATGAATATAAAATATATCCAAGCAATTGTGAGCTATTATCGCCATTGTTAGGTCGGCTAACAGAGAAGAACTCGTGTATAGCTCTCCGGAAATCGGCAAGACTCATTGACAAACTGTTCCCGGCCTCCACGGGCAACTCATCCCATGCGTGGAAAGAAACTTGATACAAAGATTCAAACGCAATCATAATGACGATTGAAGATGCAATATCGCTTAACATAAACACTAGGGCCGAAGTCTTTTCTTCATTCCTCAAAGCTAGGCTTTTTTTACATGTCAGGTATTTTGACACATTTCATCTACAAACAGACGATTCACTGGCTCAACATGTAATACGAGGCTCAAAGATATATTCCATTGGGTAATATATGAATGAATAGAAGTTCCAATTAGAGTAATACATTATACATTATAAAGAACCAGAACCAACCTGGAAGTATTCGGACAATGACCCGAGTTTTATCACGCGTATAGGTTTACTTCAATACACCGTACTGCCCAATTAAACATGGGATGTCTTTTCACTATTACAAGTAGTAAGACAATTAGTAATATACTGTAATTATTTGGTTAAAGTCTTATATTTTTTGTTTAATTATTTTTCCAAGTTTTTTTGTTCAATGTTATGCGCATTTGCATAGCGCATTAGCTTATAAAACGGATTGCAAAAACAAAATTGTTAAAGATTGTCTCTTTGAAAGTGACAAAAAAATAAATAAAAAATAATTTGCAATTTGGTCATTTTGTAGTAACACAAATTATTAGCTTTAACATACTGAATTTTAAAAAATGTGTACCCTGTTTTTTATACTATAATTATAGAAAGTAATAAAAGCACTTTCATATGACTGGATGTGTTTCTCATTTTTCGCGCTAAAATTTTGAATAAACATGTTTTTTTTTTAAATACGCTAATTTCTATGATCAATGTGTTCAATTATGTTGATAATTTTTAAAATGTCTGGTTAATTTAAAATTTCAAAAATTATTTATGAATATTTTTTATGGTATTTTTCTCTAACCAAATTCACACTTAAAAATTCATGAATTAATCACCGAAGCTTATAGTTAGTCCGATTTTCACAGTCTAATATTAGATAAAAATTGTTTGTGTTACCTCGTGAAACATAATATGAGACGAGTGGGACGTACGTACAAGAAGACTCAATGGGTTACGAAATTAACGTGGCTGACTGATGATTATCGCAATGCAATGATAGTTTTTTTTTTAAATGCAAGTGAAGCTGGGAAAGGTGTCTTGTAGATTATAGAAATATTAAATGAGCCGAAGAGACGTATAAATGGAACAGATGGCCAAACTGGCTCAAGAGATAATTGAGGATTACGAATGATTAGCACTGAAAACGGTTAAAATACATAATAAATTGGTTGGTATTTATTTAATATCCAAGTCACAATGGAAATCAGTTTTAAATGTTTAGACTTATTTCAGTTATATATAAGTCTGTATAGATAAATACGATCTACAAAATTGTCAGTACCGGTTACTGGTACTTCTTAGGGCGATTCGAGTGGTCGAGCGGTATAGACTTAAGTCTCTATAAACTGATTAAGATATCTATATTCGTTACAATTGTTTAAATATATCGCGAATTTTCCTACTTTAATGTTTTATTAGTATAAATAATATTTTTGTCTCTAAATGATTCGTTTTGATTGATCCCTCTTATTTTGTTAGTGCGTGTACAATTGGATGTGTTTTAATATTTAAATATTTTTTAAAAATGAAATCAGCTGTTTTGATTTTGACTGAATTAGTTGATAATGAATTACTTGAAAAGAATTGTTATAATAATGTATTCATCTAAAAATACAAATATAATCAAACAGGCCTCTGTTGTATAAAAAATCTAGTATTTGCGAATGTTTTACTATTATATTATTAATTATCTAATTTATCATTGTATATTTACAGTACCATAACATGACATTAATTCCATGTATTAATATTATTACTCTTTATTTCATTTATTTATTTACTGAATTACCTATTGAATGTTTGATTAGCTTATCAGTTATGAATAGAACCTTATTTGATTAATTGATTATTAATTGATGACTGTATTTATTTATTTTTTATCTAAAGGGCACCACAGTTTAAAGCTGTATTTTTCTTGTTTGTGGTTGTCCTATTCCATCTCATTTCATTTGATGCATTTGAATTTGTACTGTTTTATGATACTTGATTTGGAATAAATAACTTTTTAAAGTCTATCTACTTTTGAATTGAAGATAGACTAGACTGATGAAACATCGGCGCTGGTTCATTCGCTCCTCGTCCATGTTTCTGTTGGTAGAACCAAGTCTTCTCGGATATATAAGGATTTAAAGTGGACGTCCAGTGTATACATCTGGCTCGTGTGCACTTTAAAGAACTCATTGCATCTTTCGGAAGAGTAGGGGTTATCCCGATGTTAATTATGGTTCATTTCAGCTCCTGTCGTTGTGGAATGATGTAAACATGTAGCTACCATGAAGCGCCTCTTTACGGCTGCTAGTAGTCATGGACCACGCCCATACGCAACAGGAAGCTTTCGATCAGTGTGCGACGACACAACGCGAGTACAGAATCACTCATGCGTGACCGTACTACCTGGCGTCGTCCTACGTTCTCTGCATACGTAGATTTGGCCAAATTGCATTCCAGAATCTACTCGACGAGGTGACCTTAACGTTCTCGCATGCGTAGACTTTTAGTGACGTCACTAAGTTCTACGTTCTACTGTCGTCGTGCAATCGAAAGCTCCCTAATTTAGCGCAATGACACTGCAAGTTATGGGTTACTCTCCTACCTTTACCTTCTTACCGCTGGAGTTAGACTCAGGTACTCAGACGCTCTAATTTTACCCAAAAGCTAATTGGGGCCTCGAAGTTTCTATTAAAATAGACGTTTTCCATGTTGATTTTTCAATCGAATTACACCTCTAATTTTAATCCACTGTTTTGGGGAATTTTAATCGTATTGAGCATATGCATTGTATTTTTATTTCATTATCTCACAATAAGCCAATATGCAAGTACTGTACACAAAAAAAACCCCAGAAAACAAAAAAAAACCCCTTTGTCAAAATTAGTTTATACTAAAGGAGAGAGTTTTGGTTTGATGTTAAGCTTATTGCTCAAAAAGTTTCAAAATATGAATTTCAATTAATTCTACTTATTTTGACACTGCTTTAATAGGAAGGTGAACAATTATTATTATTATTATTATTATTATTATTATTATTATTATTATTATTATTATTATTATTATTATTATTGTATATTTATATAGCGCATATCTAAAACTCTATGCGCCTAACAATTCCAAATTAATCATTATTTATTTTATCATTTAATTGTTAATTAATAATACGTTTATTATTGTTAAAAAAATTGAAATTGTGATGGTAAACAACGCAAGGTCTCAAAGGGTCAACCATCCGTCACTGTCCCCCGCGCGATCCCAGACCTCTACCTAGGTGGCGCGAACAAAGGAGCAGGTTACACATTTACCCTACCACAGACGAATGAGTGCTCGGGGACAGACCAAGATAGTGGCCCCCAGGAGGCAGAGCAGTCACATTTGTAATCAAAAGAGAGAAAGAAACAAACAAAAACAAAACAAAAACGAAAAGAAAAAATTACCATTAACGATATGGTATTCTTGCTATGCATAATAGGCTTACCCATATACACACATACACATGCTCACCCACACATAGGCCTACATACTACATACATACATGAACATTATCACTTTGGACTGTGTTAACAAACTGTTGTTCAGAAATTTACCAAAGTGTTTGTTCATCCCAGACCAGATAGTTAAAAAAACTGATCTGAATGAAACTTTTTGGAAAATTTAACTATTTTGCAAGGAAGGAATTGCTAAATCTTACTGACGATCCAGATTTTGGTGTGTATTTCAGGGTCATTTAAGTTAAGCTCCCAGACCTAAATATCTCTAAAACTTATAAGTGCATCTAAATGATCCATAATGGTCCAATGAAGAAGTGATTAAATGATACATTTTGGTGACGATCCGGAGTCTGGTGTGGATATGAGGAGACTTTTATTGGACAGTGTTGATTGAACTATATAAACGCATTTGCGTTTTCTAGGCCAACTCAGACAGCGTCGGCCGACGCAGCCCGACCCGATTTTTCGTCGGGGACAGTCTTAAGCCGTCGTGAGAAATATTAAACACGTTTAATATTCTACTACGCGACTGCCCCCGACGCACACCATCGCGTCTGCGTTCAACTCACACAGACCCGGGTCGGGCTGCGTCGGCCGACGCTGTCTGAGTTGGCCTTAAAGCGTTTAAACCAGCTGTAGCTATGTTAAACTGCAAAATTACCGCGATATGTAAGGACGGCTTAAATAGCGTGCAATCGGTAGGCCTGTTACCCTCGCTATTACTGTTGCAGCTATAGCTCGAGTTTTATTATCAATCAGGGGGAACATCATTATAAACGGGGAAAATAATTGCAACTAGAGATAATAGCATATTGGTTTCTACAACGGACAATCCTCCTAATGAAACCCGTAACTACTAGCTTTAGCTATAATTGAGGAAACATGTTTATCCCAACTAAGGTTTGATGATATAGTAATTCGAATGTATTTTAGTGATTCAACATTTTTAATGCAATCAGAACCAATAAAATAATCAGTAGCACTATCAGAATGTTTACTAGATCTGGTGATACGCATCATGTTACATTTACTAGCATTTAAATGCTATTGTTGACACCCCTTTAAAAGTTGTTTAGATCATTTTGCAGGGAAACCTCATCCGTATTGGAATGATTGACAGCATGGTGTCGTCAGCATACTGCAAAGTGTTTGAAGAAACAGATGAAGGAAGGTCGAGAACAAAAATATTAAATAGAATAGGGTCTAAAACACTACCTTGTGGTACCCCAGATGAGACAGAACAAAGGTCTGAAGAAACCCCCTGGATTTGACTCTATTGTATCTAAGAGAGATAGGACGACATCCATTGCATGTTTATCATAACGTATTTACAAAAGTTGATAGGCCTAACTCATAAATTACTTAAAGTAATAAGTCAACGTAGGTATCTCCCAAAATTATAAGAACATACACAAATTTAATCTCTTGAAACAATATCGGAAACATAATTCATTTTCTCTGACTCTTTTACCAGCATTGGCCTATTCGCCAGCCCTCTCGCATACTGTTTTATGCATATCTATACGCAATTTAATCACTTACACCTGATTTACTAACGTTATTCTAGATGACGTCGTAAATTAGACATAATGTTCCAATCAAAATACACCTACTATAATTTTCATTCACTTTTATTAGGAATTTTAATCGTCTTGAGCACTGGAATTGTACTGCGTTTGATCCTAATACCCTGAATCATTGCATCACGTAGGCATTATGACAATATCATTAATCAGATATAGCCTATTTCTCATTCGATCCAAGTGCTCCATGTCAACCCACAACATATTTCAACGAGTTTGTGTATGGCTTAGGTGTTAAGGCTATTAGCTTTCATGTAGGCTGCTCCTCCTCCCCAAGGATTGGAGTTGGTCGAGGCGATGACATTAGCGTACGACAGATCTTGATTACAAGTGAATAATATACCATCACCTCTTGTATAATTGGCATACACATAGGAGGAGAGTCGACAAAGTTAAAATACGAGTTATACGGTCAGGCTGCTCTTTAAAAAGCACAAGTGTACTCGCTTTGTCGTCCTCATTAACAGAAGTTTAAACAGAAGTGAAGTGAAGTTGAATAAAATGTTTGGAGTAGGTCTACTCGCCATTTTTTTCTTTTACCAACATTTGATTACAGCGTTACCAACGGAAGAAACAAATGTGGGAATTTCTCAGGTAAGTTTTAACTACTCCGTATCGAAACACCACACAAATATGTTTTTAATGTTATAGTGACATAGTATGCATACCGTGTTTACGCTCAAGTTAAAATATTGGTTGTTCGAATTCTTCTTATGATTTTATTAAATCAGATAGGCCTATACAGTGTAGACTGTCCTCTAATGGTTCGTCCATAGCTTAGCATTGAGCACGTATTTTAAAAATTTATGTAAGCGATAAAGAAATATTATTATGCCTAGCTTATTAATTAATCAGCTTTATTTCGGAAACAAGTCCATATAGCAAAATACACTATAGGGGCCTATAATTAAAAAAAAGACCATTCGGACAACAGAAATGTAATATAATATCATTACATGTCTGTCTCTTATACACATCTAGATGTGTATAAGAGACAGTCATTACACTCTCATTCAGAGATATTCTTCCATTATACAGGAAGCACCTGACCAGACTTTTAAATTTTATTTGATATAAGCATGTGACAGGCCTAAATATGGTCCTGATGACATCACATCATGACCATATATAGGCACATCATGACTATGGGCATATAAAAGTTGTTTTTTTTGTCAGCGAAAATTTGATAATCTGGACGGAGCTTAATATTCAATTTTATTAGAATTTTTGTTCTTTTAATATTTAATAATAATTGTTATAATGTGTTTTATTTTGTTATTCTTTTTTTTT